GGTGCACTCTGCTGACAGGAGTCAGAATTAACTCAGTAACAACTAGCAACAATAAAAAAGCATGAAAACCATGACTGTTGGGCAGGATGACCTGCAACTCCAGAAGAAATGGCTTCTAGAATAAGCATTCAGCGCTAAGTTTCTAAGACTAAAAGCTATGTTGTTTAATCTGATTGTACCATGCCCAAAACCAGAACATGTGGAGATGGAAATTTCATTAATTTGGCTTCTTCAGACAATCACATCATTCTCTAAAATATGAAAACTAATATGAAGACAGGTAATAGAACATACCATATTGTTTTATATTTGCTGTTGTTGTTGCTAAGTGCCACTGAGTTGGTTCCGACCCATGGTGACTCTGTATAGGGTTTCCAAGGAGCAGTTGGTAAGCTTGAACCTCCAACCTTTCAGTTCAAACCAACTTTGCAGTCCAGCGCCACATCAGGGCTCCACTGCTTTCTATAAGAGGCAGAAAAGTTACCAGAGTTTAACCCTCAATCCTATGGGGAACAGATTGAAAGTTTAAATTTCCTCATCTGTAAAACAGATGAAGTACTAGGAAGAATGAGATGCTGTATGTTGTTCTTGTTAGGTGCTGTAGAGTCCATTCCGATTCATAGTGAACCCATGCAAGACAGAGCGAAATACTGCCTGGTCCCAGGCCATCCTCACAATTGTTGTTATGCTGCAGCCCAAGGCTGCTGCCATGGTGTCAGTCTATCTCCTTGGGGGTCTTCCTCGTTTTAGCTGACACTCCAATTTAATAAACATAATGTACTTCTCCAGGGATTGCTTCCTCCTGATTATATGTTCAAAGCATGAGAGATGAATCTTGCCATCCTGACTTCTAAGGAGCATTCTGACTGTACTTCGTCCAAACACAGATTTATCTGTTTATATTCCTTACAACAGTCCATGGTACTTTTAATATTCGTCTCTAAAATCATCACTCAAACGCATCAGTTTTTCTACAGTCTTCCTTATTCATTGCCAACTTTCACATGCATATGGGAATACTGAAAATAACAAGGCTTGGGTTACATGCATATTAGTCCTCAAACTGCTATCTTTGTTCTTGAACATGTTAAAGAGATCTTGTGCAACAGATTTGACTAATGAAATACATTGATTTCTTGACTGCTACATCCATGAGTGTTGACTGTGGATGAAAGCAAAATGAAGTCTTCGACAACTTCAATCCATTCTCCGATTTTCATGATGTTATCTACTGGCCCACTATTGAGGATTTTTGTTTTCTTTACATTGAGGTACAGTCCATACTGAAGGCTGTGATCTTTAATCTTCATCAGTAATTTTTTAAGTTCTCTTTGCTTTCAGTAAGCAAGGTTGCATCATTTGCATATCATAGACTGTTAATGAGTCTTCCTTAAGTCCTGAAGTCTTGCTCTTCTTGATATAATCCTGTTTCTTGGCTTATTTGTTCAGCACACAGACTGAATAAGTATGGTGAAAGAATTCAACACTGGAATACACCTTTCCTGATTTTAAACCATTCAGTATTCCCTTGTTCTGTTCGAACAACTGCCTCTATGTACAGATTCTTCATGAGCACAATCAAATGCTCTGGAATCCCTACTCTTCACAAAGTTATCCATAGTTTGTCATGATTCACACATTCAAATGTCTTTGCATAGTCATTAAAACACAAATAAAATCTTCCTGGTATTCTCTGCTTTCAGGATCCATCTGACTTCAGCCAATGATATCCCTAGTTCCACGTTCATTTCTGAACATGGTTTGAGTTTCTGGAAGTTCCCTATCCATGTACCATTATTATTTTTTTAATTATAAATTATCTTCAGCAAATTTTAGTTGCATGTGATATTAATGATATTGCTCAATGATTTCCACATTCTGTTGGGTCACCTCTACTTGGAATGGGCACAAATGTGGATCTTTTCCAAATGGTTGGCCAGGTAACTGTCTTCCAAATTTCATGGCATAGCCTCCATTGCCACGTCAATTTGTTCAGATTTTAATTTGTATCTCATCAATTCCCAGTGCCTTGTTCTTTGTCAATGCCTTCAATGCACCTTGAACTTCTTCCTTCAGTGAAATTGGCTCTTGATCATATGCTACCTCCTGAAATGGTTTTTTGGTTCAGCGACTCTGTGTATTCCTTCCATCTTCTTTTGATGCTTTCCGCATCATTCAATATTTTGCCCATGTTGTTGTTGTTGTCAGGTGCCATCGAGTCGGAACCGACTCATAGCGACCCCATGCACAGCAGAACGAAACAATGTCCGATCCTGGCCCATAGAATCCTTCAATATTTCAAGTCAAGCCTTGAAGTTTTTCTTCAGTTCCCTCAGCTTGAGAAATGCTGAGTGTGTTCTCTTTTGGTTTCCTAACTCCAGGTCACTGCACATTTTATTATATTTGACTTTGTCTCCTCAAGTTACATTTTGAAATTTTCTATTCAGCTCTTTTACCTCCTCATTTCTTCCATTTGCTTTACCATCTCTGTGATGGAGAGCAAGTTTCAGAGTCTCTTCTGACATCCATTCTGGTCTTTTCCTTTTTTCTTGTCCTGTATGATGTTCTTGATGTCATCCCACAACTCTTCTGCCTTCGGTCTTTAGTGTTTAATGAATCAAATCTGTTCTTCAAACGATCTCTAAATTCAGGTGGAATATGCTCAAGGTCATATTTTGGCTCTCGTGGACTTGTTTTAATTTTCTTCAGCTTCAGCCTAAACTTACATATGAGCAATTGATGGGCTATTCCACAGTCTGCTGCTGAACTTGTTTTGGCTGATGGTATTTAACTTTTCTACCATCTCGTCCACAGATGCAGTCAATTTGATTATCGTGTATTCTATCTGGTGAGGTTCATATGTGTAGTTGCCTTTTATGTCATTTAAAAAAAAAGTATTTGCAATGAAGAAGTCAAAGGTATTGCAAAATTCTATCATGCACTATCCAGCATCGTTTCTATCACCAAGGGCATATTTTCCAAGTACTGACCTTCATCTTGCTTCCGACCTTTGCATTCCAATCACCAAAATTATCAATACATCTTTGCATGTTTGATCAATTTTAGATTGAAGAAGTTGCTAGAATTCTTCAATTTCATCATCAGTGGCTTTTGTGGTTGGTTCATACAATTGAATAACAATGGTATTAACTGTCTTCCTTGGAGGTGTATGGATATTATCCTATCACAGACAGCATTATACTTCAAGATAAATCTTGAAATATTCTATCTGATAATGAATGCCATTCCTCCTGAACTTGCCGTTCCTGCCATAGTAAACCATATGATTGTCTAATTCAAAATAGCCAATACCAGTCCATTTCAGCTCACTAATGCCTACGATACTGATCTTTACATGTTCCATTTCATTTCTGACAAATTTCAGTAGTGGACAAATTCCAATTTCCCTAGGTTCATACTTCGTACATTCCATGTTCTGATTATTAATGGATGTTTACAGCTGTTCCTCCTCATTTTGAGTTGTGCTTAGTCAGCAAATGAAGGTCCAGAAAGATTTTCTGAATTTGCATAATCACTGTCAACTCTACTTTGAGGAGACAGATGTTCTCTAGCTGTATTTTGAGTGTCTTTCAACTTGAGAGGCTCAACAAACATCAGGTGCAAAATCTGACAATATTCTGGTGCTATTCATACTATTTTTCATCTTTCAGCACTATATCCGACAATGTTCATAATGTTTTTAGTAGCTAAACATTCAGAAATAGTCTGTCTCTCCTTCTTCCTAGTCTGGCTTAGTCTGGAAGCTCAGTAGAAACCTGTCCACCTCAGTGACGCTGCTGGTAATTAAAACACCAGTGGCAACGCTTCCAGCATCACAGGGTCACTATGAGTCAGAATAGACACAATGTTATGCATTTTCTTTTCATTTTAATCTTAAAGGAACACTGGTGATGCAGTGGTTAAACACTAAACTGCTAACTGAAAGATCAGTGATTCAAATCCTCGAGCTGCTCCTTGGGAGAAAGATGAGGCAGTCAGCATTGGAAACCATATGTTGTTGCTGTCAAGTCAGTTCCAACTCATAGTGACTTTACAGAGGGTTTCCAAAGAGCAGTTGGTGGGTTTGAACTGCCAACCTTATGGTCAAAGTATAGTACTTATCCTATAGTGCCACACCAGGACTCCTGGAAACTACAGTGTTGTTGTTGTTGCTGTTGTTGTTAAGTGCCATCGGGTTGGTTCCAACCTATAGTGACCCTGTATAGGATTTCCTATTCTGTCGTATAGGGTCGCTTTAAATTGGTATACATCCTACAGCAATTTAAAAAAAAATCTTGGGGAAGAGGGAAGAAGTGACAAAGAGAGGAACTTCTGCTATAGCAGAAACCCCATTCAGTTAATAGAAAATCATCTCCACTACTGAACAGAATTATGAAGTTAATAGTTATGGCCTTCATATTAAAAGGTAATAACTACCTCTATATATGCTAGTCAGATGGGCTGATGGTTTGTACCAAACAACCACATTCCCCTCATTCAAGACAGCTGCCAAGATTAATTACAATTTTATCAGTAGTCATGGAGATTTTCTCCATGAACCTGAATTAGTCAACCCATACTCCACATCAGAGGCAATGGTATTCCTTTTTCTGATAGGCCAACTCCAACATTCACTCATTCATTCATCACTCAGTCCCTACTTTGCACCATGCTCTATTCCAAGGGTTTGGGATCCAACAAGGACAACAAAACATATAAAGTTACTGCCATCATACAGCTCACAGTCTAGCAGAGAAATACAAACAGTAAACCAATTATGCAGTAGGTCAATGGTGATTAGGTGATAGAAAAGTAAGCAGGGCAACAGGCTGCAGTTTTAAATGGAGCAAAGAAGGCTTCACTGAAAATAAAGCAAATTAATTTAAATAATTAAAAGATGCCAATTAAGCAAAAGCCTAAAGCAGATGAAGGAATCCAGGGAGAGAGTAATGGGCTTTACAAAATCTCCAGTTCACATAAAGCAAAATGGAACCTCTTACCTTTCAAAAGTGGCTGGAAGGTTGGAATCTCTTGCAACTTGATGACATCAGGGTCGTTACTGACATTCCGTGAGGCCTGGGAGCCCTGAGCTACAACCACTATATCATCCATCTTGGCTCTGTGCTTAGCTGGAGAAGGGGTCACTGAAAAAAACAAATTACACTGCTCAGGAGATACATGTTAGCCAGGCCCCTCTGCCTCACAAAAATGTTTTCAGTGCAGTCATTAAAAAGAACACATTTACTCAACAAAATGCAAATTGTAGTTATCTTGCAGTGGGGGCTAAGGAAGGATGAATTATGGGGGACTTCTACTTTCTATTTTCAAAAAGTCAAATATTACAGGAACATAAAACATGTATGTATGCTTCTGCGATGAAAAAATATTTTATTATTAAGGTAACAATGTGTTTATAATCTTTACATCATTGATTCCCCTAGCATGTGTCTCATTTTATTACCAAGAATATGAAGGAACTAAACTTGTCTGTGACTTGCCCACAATCAGTAATAGTAGAAAGGTATTTAGGAAAGGAAATGAAGGTCTGAGTAACTGTTGCACATGGCTCATCCCTGTTACACTGGAGTTGCAAAGCTGTCTAGCCATACTACCACAGGTCAGATGTGTCCAATAGATACCGGGGGTGGATGTGGTAGTTGAGTGCTGTCGAGTCGGTTCTGATTCATAGTGACACTGTATGGGTAGGGTTTCCAAGGCTGTAAATCGTTCTGGAAGCAGGAAGCCTCATCTTTCTCCTGTGAGGTGGCTGGTGGATTCAAACTGCTGACCTTGCAGTTTAACAGTCCATGTAACCAACTACACCATCAAGGTTCCTTAATAGGTCCTTTTGTTTTGTTTATTTCGTTAAGTGCTGTCCAGTCAATTCTGATTCATTGTACCCCTGTATATGGATATGAGGTTTGAACTCCAACCTTGAGGTTCAAACAGACTTTATGGCCCAGTACTTATCCTACCGCCAAACCAGGACTCCTAATACATCCTGTTGTTGTTGTTATGTGCTATGGAGTTGGTTCTGACTCATAGAGACCCTGTGCAGGGTTTCCGAGGCAGTAAATCTTTACAGGAGCAGAAAGCCTCATCTTTCTCCTGCGGAAAAGCTGGTAGTTTCAAACTGCTAACTCTGAGATTAGCCGCCCAATTCGTAACCACTACACTATCAGAGTTCCTTAATACATTCTGTTGTTGTTAGGTGCCCTTGAGTCTATTCCGATGCATAGTGACCCTGTATAGGGTTTCCAAGGAGTAGCTGGTGAGCTTGAACTGCTGACCTTGCAGTTCAAACGGCTTTGCAGTCTGGAACATTAACCCACAGCGCCACACATCCTAATCATGGGGAAAAACCTCTGCTACTCAACCCAATACAGTGAGTCCATTCCTGAGGCTCCAGCCATCTCACTCTCAAGTCATAGATATCGTAGTCCAAGAAGGGCAGAAATTGCTACTAAATCCATTCTAAACCTAATTACAAAATTCAGAAATTTGGAGTATTGCTGGACAAGCAAGTCAATTTCAGGTCCCTTAAGAGATTGTAGTCCATTTGGAGCTAAGTGATTCAAACTACAAAGGACTTCTAAGACCAAACATCCTCCTATCGCCAGTTAGCTCCTTGGTTGGGGCAAGAATGAAGCTGTAAAGTGTTCTACACTCTAGACATTAGTATTTGCAAATTTAATGTACATCATAGTCAAGCCTAAAAGGTCCATCCAGAGATACCAAAGAACTGCTCTGCTTCCTGAAGGTAAGGTCTCCTGTAGATTAGCATTCACTCTTTTAGGATCTCTACTATTTTTACTATTCTTCAAGAAAGATTTCTTAATCGCATCAGGTAAATTACTCCATGTTTTAAAAATTTCATGCCAGAAATTTTTCCTGATACAAATTAAGTATGAGTCCATCTTCCCCAAACAATTAAGAAAGCCTACTTCACTATTTTCTAGCTTCTGGCTCTGGTAGCGTAGTAGTTATGAATCGGACTGCTAATCTCAGAGTCAGCAGTTCGAAACTACCAGCTGTTCCGCGGGAGAAAGATGAGGCTTTCTGCTCCCGTAAAGATTTATAGCCTCGGAAATCCTGTGCAGGGTTGCTATGAGTTGGAACCAACTCCATGGCACATAACAACAACAACCTTTTCTACAGAGAAAAAGAAGGCGCCCCAACGAGATGGACTGGCCAAGTGGCAGTATCGATGGTCTCAAGCATGCAACAGTAGTGAGGTTGGCCCAGGATCTGGCAGTGTTTCGTCGTTATGAATCGGTACTGACTCAATGACACCTAACAACAACAAAAAACCTTTTCTATAAGAAGCTCTGATAACGAAGAGGGTAGGACTCAGGCTGCTAAGCGCACGATCAGCAGTTTCCTCCAGAGAAAGATGAGGCATTCTTTTCCCATAAAGATTTACGGAAACTCTCTACAGGGTTACTATGATTCCATGGCACACCAGAACCACCACCTTTTCTATGGAGTCCTAGTGTGGCCCTGTAGGATAAGCACTGGACTGCTAACTGAAAGGTTGGCTCTTCAAACCCACTAGTCGCTCCTCAGAAACCCTATAGAAGGAAGCTATAAATTGGAACCTACTTAACGGCACTTAACAACAACAACCTTTTCTATGTATTAGGGTTATTGTATTGATTAAATGTAAATGTACATAAAATACTTGGCCCAGAAGAAAATAGACAAATTCTAACACTAGGAATGAACCTATGCTGTTGTTAGCTAGAAAGCAAACACGTTTAAAAAATGCCATTATCTCTTCCCAAAATATGGTTCTTATCTGCCATAGAGGCAAGAAAGGAAGAGATAGCAATGACTACTGTATTTGTCATAACAGATACAGCATTGTGGACCTTCCACAAAATAGATGAATGTAGCAAAGCCAAATGCTGATCACCATTAAATTTTATTACAATCTAGCCCCCAAAATGCAGGTCTGAACTAATCCTGAAGAAAATCCTTCAGTGTGGACCACCATCTGTTAAATTCTACATTTCTGATTTACAAGAACTGAGCAGTTCAATGTCCAGGGGCAACTTTTAGGCAAAGATTTAACCCCATTTGGCTTGGTGAACCCAGTGCTTGCCTAAAGCATTCCCAGTTAGCCAGAGTTTTGTGGATAACAAAAATAAATAAATAAAAAGGGCAAATAAATAGCCTTCAAATAAGTAGCCTATTTTCTTTATTGAGCACACTCTCTATTCCAGGCACAATAGTTCTCCCCATTCTTATGTCAAATACTGAGAAAAACCTAACAAAAAAGTATTTACAGAGGAAAATAACAGTACATGTGCTGGGTTATAGGAAGAGAGCCAAGTTATGTTCTGAGGGAAGAATCATTTATGGAAATGAGCATACCACCTCAACCTAAGAATTCATATTGGCGATACACCTATTATACATCCCTTCTCAAAACAAATAATAAAAATAAAACGTATTATCAATATTTTTAAAAAGTAATCTCTATGACCTTTGTGGAGTCCTGGTGTGGCACTGGTGGGTTAATGTGGTGGACTGCAAAGTCGTTTGAACCATAACACTAGTGGTTCAGGCTTAGCAGTTCTTCAAAACCCCTATACAGCGTTTTCAGTGACAGACATTTAAGGCACTGGACCACAAGCTCGGTTTGAACCATAGGTCGACTGTTTAAACCCACCAGCTACTCCTCAAAAACCCTACACAGGGTCGCTATGGATGGGAACCAACTTGATGGCACCTGATAACATAGGATTTTCAATGATCGATTTCTCAGAAGTGGACCACCAGGCTTCACTTACATGGTATATTTAGTTGAACTCAAACCTCTAACCTTTTGGTTAACAGTCAATAACATTAATCTTTTGTATAATATTCAGGGACTCCTCTAAGTGCCACTAAAATAGGCGAATCCAATTATCCTTTCTGTGTCACATATGCATAGGCTATTAGCTAAAAACAAAACAAAACCCTATACAGGGTTTCTATGAGTCGGAATCGACTCAACGGCACTTAACAACATAACCTTTTCAAAATCTGTCTAGAATCCATCCACTCTATGAGCTAAATTTCACTATGCTAATAGTGAGTACTAAAGCCCAAAATTAAATAGGTCAGTCTTTCAAAATTTGGGCCAAAGCTGGGAGAAACTATTAATGGGTATGTGCGCCCACACTGGTTTAGCTTGTAGTCAAAGGCACCCACTTCCATGGGGGCATCAAGGCTAAGGCAAATGGTGAATTTTTTTTTTTTTTTTAAAAGAAGAAAAAAGTATGGTAAGGGATTCCTGTGGTTCCCCTCAAGGCTGGGTGGCAGTCCGCTTCACAAGCAGACAGGGCCGGCTAGAAGAGGGTGGAAGGTTAGGACACCGACCTGAGGAGTTCAGATCGTTGGGTCGGCTCTCCACCTCGGAGCTCTGTTCACTGCCCATGGTGCCGGCAGCGGTGGCCACGAAGGAACGGTGGGACGAGTGGTCACCGCTCCGGTGGCTGGGCGACAGGGCAGGGGCTAGGTGCCGGGGACCGAGGCGGGGAGGCTAGACAGTGTGGGCCCAGCCGCAAAGCCAGTATGAGAACACGACACGCCCAGCCCACGCAGGGGCGCGGACGATGAGGGATGGAGAGGCCCTATTCGAGAACCGAGGTGCAAGGAGACACAGCCGTTACACGCGCTCCCTGTCCTTCTTTAGGGGAGCCAGAGGGGAGGAAGCAAGGGATACCCGGCTTCAGCCACAAATGCAGCCAGCGGGCGGCGCCGTTTTCACTCACTCGCTCCGTTTAGCAGATTCTCGCCTTCCGGGACGCAGATTGGCGGCGCCAGCAACGCGCGGCCGTCAGTTCCGGGTTAAAGGCCCCGCCCCCGGCCCGAGGGAGGGGTGGGAAAACTCTCGCGGGCTACTGGGGAGATGCCGCCTTAAAGGACCCGATCGTTTCAAAACCCGAACCGCTGCAAAGGGTAAGCCCTTTTCTATGATAATGACAGGTCACCTTTTAAGAACTATCCATGTATTAAGTCTGGAGTCCTGGTGTGGCGCTGTGGGTTAATGCGCCAGACTGCAAAGCCGTTTGAACTGCAAGGTTGGCGGTTCAAGCACACCAGCTGCTCCTCGGAAACCCTATACAGGGTCGGAACCGACCCGACGGCACTTCACAACAACAGGTATTAGGTCTATGGAGCTGTGGGTTAATGCACAGGACTGCAAAGTCGGCGGTTCAAGCACACCAGCTGCTCCTCGAAATGCTATAGCGGGTTGACTATGAGTTGGAACCAACTCGACGGCACTTAACAACAACAATGTATTAGGCACTTTGTTTCTATTGTATCCTTGCAACAACTTTACAAAAAAGGTATTTTTAACTGTCTCTTGCAAATAGGAAACCTAGGCCCAGAGAGATGATAGACTTGAGAATCCGAATCCACAATTGTCGGAATGCTGAATCCCTATTTACGTTCCGAAAAACTGACAGTCTTGATAGTGAACGACGATACAAAAAATGCTAGGAACTGGAAATGCGAGAAAAATGAAAAATTAGAAAATACTGACTTACCTGTTAATGGTTTGTGCTTTTTCAAGGAAACGTAAAATCCCCTATATTAGATTCTAGACACTTTCTGGGGATCTTGAGAATTACTGACAAGCTATTCTGAAACTAAAAGAAGAGGTTGTACTGTAATTCTAGAGCTAAAGAAACTCATGGTGGGCAGGTCAAAGGACGGAAACAAATCAATGGAATGCCATGAAGGTGTTGAGTGCCCCTTGGAGTTCTTAGAGCTTTTCAATTCATTTATATTATTTGTTTCATGACATGTCTTAACCAAGGAACTCTGGTCGTAGCATAGTGGGTTACGAGTTGGAATGCTAACTGTTTGAATCTACCAGCGGCCCCACGGTAGAAATATGAGGCTTTCGGCTCCCGTAAAGATTTACAGTCTCAGAAACCCTATACAGGGTCGCTGTGAGCCGAACCTACTCCTCGGCACACTACCACTACCACTACCACTACCACCACCACCATGAGTTGGAACCCACTCCATGGCACATAACCACCAACAATTTCCACAACGACTCTGAGGCCTATCTACATCATGATCACAAGGGGAAAATAACACTAGAATTTAAGGCTGTGTTTTTTCAAATCTGGTTCTCTTTCCTCTACTGAATGTAACAATACAATGAAAAAACTGTTTCTTGTAAATAAAGATGAATTCAAGTTTCTGTGTTGTTGTTCACATTGCTTCCTGCACATAGCTACCCTGTATAGGGTTTTGAGACTTTTTAAATATTCTTGGGATCAGAAAGCCTCCTCTTTCTTTTTCCAGTCACTTAACTGGTAGGTTTGAACTGTCTCAATCTACCATCTTTGAGGAGAATAATTCATATTCTATCTTTTGTTCCCCCTTCTTCCACCATCAAATTTCTAGTCATACTGATGTGATTGTAATTTTTATTTACCTTTGGATGAGTATTTCATCTAAAACGGATACTCTCCTCTTTAACTGAAGAATAAATAAATATGGTATATTCATACAAAAGAATTTGTTTTAAAAGGGAGGGGGATGTGAAGTAGTGATACATGGATGAACCTTAAAAACATGGTACCTTGCAAGGGAAGACACTGGGAGAAGTGGAAGAGTTAAAAGGCAACAGAGGTAAATATTGGACATGCAGGCTGAATGAGTGTGGGAGGGAGAGTGGGAGTATTGTTGTTGTTGTTGTTGTGTGCCGTGGAGTCGGTTCTGACTCATAGCGACCCTGTATAGGGTTTCCAAGGCTGTAAATCTTTACGGGAGCAGAAAGCCTCATCTTTCTCCCGCAGAGCAGCTGGTAGTTTCGAACTACTGACCTTAAGGTTCACAGCCCGATTCGTAACCACTATGCTACCAGAGCTCCTTATGTATATATATATGTGTGTATATATATATATAGAGAGAGAGAGAGAGAGAGAGAGAGTAGAGAGCGAGCCCTGGCGTGGTGCTGTAGGATAAGCACTCGTCCACAAGATCAGTTTGAACTGCAAGGTTCACTTTCTTTTAGAGCACAGTGTCTCTGTAGGATAAACGCTGGACTTAGAACCACAAGGAAAGTAATTCAAGCTACTCTGTGAGAGAAAGATGAGGCTTTCCGTTCTTGCAAAAATTTGTAGTGATCTTGCATAGGGTTACTGAGGAGCGACTGGTGAGCTTGAACTGCTGACCTTGTGATTTGAACTTACTTTGCAGTCCAGCACATTAACCCCAGCACCACACCAGGACTCCTTGCAAAGATTTACAGCCTCAGAAACTATATACAGGGTTTCTAAGAGTCAGAACTGACTTTCCGGAACTTAACAATTGACCTTTGCTACAAATATATCAATGACTGTGGTAGACTATACAGGCAACAGAGTTTTGAATACTTCTTAGATATTTGCAGTCGCCTTGAGGGAATGAGTCATGGGACCTGGGAGCTCAGGACCATGGTCACAGGGGACACCAAAGGCAATTAGCATAACATAGTCCACAAAGACTATGTTCTACATCCTACTTTCGTGAGTAGTGACTGGGGTCTTAAAAGCTTATAAGTAACCATGTAAGGTTAAGGTGCATCTCTTGGTCTCTCCCCTTCTTGAGCAAAGAAGACATATGAAAACAATTTGTACAATGAACTAAAAATGGACCATGTAAACAAACATCAGCCCCATGACACTGAGACCAGAAGAACTTGATGGTGCCTGGCTGCTACTACTACTGGCAACTCTGAAAGCGATCACATTAGAAAGTAGAAAGTCCTGGATAGAGTCGGGGGTGGGGTTGGGGGGGAGATGGATCAAAACTCAAAATCATAAAGAAGACCAGGCTTACTGGTAGAATAGAGACCCACGGAGCCCCCAAGATTATGGCCCTTAGTCTTCTTTCAGGTCTGTACTTTCCACCGTGGTTCAACGTTCAGCTAAAAAATAACACTAGGGAGGGATGGACACCTTAGAATAATTAAACATTTGAGATCAAAAGGGCAGCATTTACCCAAAGTCAAAGTTCAGAAGGATTTGGAAAGAAGGTAGAATGGAAACAAGAAACACAGGAAGGAATTGGGATAAGTGATGTTACATTGTGGGGATTATATACCTCCTTCTGGAGCTAATAACATGAAATAAAATGTGTATGAATTATTTAATGAAAACCTGATTTGCTCTGTAAACGTTCACCGAATTCACAATTAAAAAAAAAAAAAAGGCATCTCAAAAGACAGACCTGGTGATCTGCTTCCAAGAGATCATAGCCTAGGAAACCTGTGGAGCAGTTCTCTACACACATGGGGTCCCAGTGAGTTGGAATCGACTCAGTAGCACTTAACAAGACTTCCAGAGGAGATTTGGAGGAGAAATAGAGTTACTGCAAACGAGTACTGGCTTTCTTTTAGGAGGTGATGGAAATGTTGTGGTTATGAAAGTGATTGTGGTTATGGTTACAAAACTGTGACTATACTAAAAACCTTTACATTGTATACTTTAAATTGGTGAGTCATATAGTCTGTGAGTTGTAGAGTCTGTGAGTTGTGTAGTCTGTGAGGAATCCTGTGGTTTAATGCACTGAACTACAAAGTTGGTTTGATCTGCAAGATCACTAGCCACTCCTCACAAACCCTATACAGGGTTGTTATGGGTCAGAACTGACTCAACAGCACTTAATAATAACATCAACAAAAGTCTGAGCTATAGCCTCAATAAAGCTGTTCTTCAAAACAAAAGTATTCTGAAGATGAATGTCTTCAATCATTGACCCAGCATCTTGAAAGCCTATAATATACCAGACACTTGATAGGAGCCAGGCTTAAAACGGACTCCTGGTATGGTACTGTAGGGTCAGCACTGGACTGCAAACTAAAAGGTCAGCAGTTCAAATCCACCAGCTCTCCTTGGAAACTCTATTCATGGTCGCTATCAGTCAGACCGACTAGATGACACTTAACAACAACAACAACAAGGGATAAAACACCCAACAAGACCCGGTCCCTACATTTAGGCAGCCCCTACCTTTAGGAAGCATACAGTCTGGTGGCAAGAAAATTAAGTAGGCATTTATAATACAAGGATCATTTCCACTTGAAGGAACTCAAGATAACTAGGTGTTTGGCATAAGGAGAGGCTCTGCCAAAGCTGCAGGCTAGATACCTTTTCTCTTTCTCTCCGTTTACTGTTTATTCTAACCAGACTTTCAAAAGTCAACTAGCTGGCATACCTCCTTCTTTCTCCCTTCTTACAGCAGGCTCCCAGGAAGAGCAGTCACTCAGACTGGCCCTGGAAATTTGTTACTGTTGTTAGGTACCATCGAGTCGGTACCGACTCATAGCGACCTTATGCACAGCAGAACAAAACGCTGCCCAATCATGGGCCAACCTCAGTATTGTTGCCACGCTTGAGTCCATCAATGCTGCCACTTGGCCAATCCATCTCGTTGGGGGTCTACCTGTTTTTCTCTG